ACACTCAATACATTAGGTAAAGGGACACAAGTGCAAGTAATGCCACATTTTCTAGTGGCAACATTTTGCTCTCCTGGAGCTTTGTCAAAGCCTGACAAAGCTCCTGTAGAGCAAAATGTCAAAAACTTGACAAAGCTCCTGTAGAGTGAAACGTTGCCACAATAATGTCACATCAGTTGCACTTGTCCTTTTACCTAACATATTGTTGGTAATTCTACCAACATTAATACAACTACAGTCAACTTTATGACAGACACTTTAAAGTGGTTTACAGCACTAATGAACTGATGTGCACTTGTACCCTCCATCTTCATAAAATAAACAATCAAAGTTCTGGAGTATACTTCACAGTGCAAATGTATGTATTTACTTGCTTGTACCTGGTAATATCCCAAGTCTTACAATAACAAAACATTTATCTCACTGGTGTAAAATTATTTCGTTGTTTGTACCCAGTATTTTTAACCTGACTTTTGGTCTGAATGAGATTCTTCAAAAATTAAGGACACAATGGACAGTAAAGGCTATGACAAAGGTATTCAATAAATTTATAAAGCGAACAAAATTTTAGATGACATACTATCATGAGTTCTTTTCTTGTCTTAATGGAATATATCAAGTGCACAGAGAATTTTGAAGCCATTGGCTGACATAGTGACCACACCCATCTAAATGAACCGAGGGAAAAAATCACGAAGGATCAACAATTATATAAGGCGGCAAGTGGTATTTCAGACACACTGTACACAAAAAAAAAACTTCAATTTAAATACATTTCATCCACAATAGGGTTTCATCAAGTTTAGTTGAAACCTGTAATTTGTGTGGGTTAAGTTCCTGGAGGTGACATGAATTCTGAAGCTACAGATAATAGAAAACTTTACATCTGAATTATTTAAATTTTTTCAACTGTATATCTTTAAATGTTACCTTAATCTTCTTAATACTGACATTCATAAGAATGAATGAATACATGCTGAATGAAGTTCTATGGATACTTTTCATTTTAGGGGGACCTGTGCCTAGCAGAAAGATGAAGACTAAGAAAAACATGAATAATCAGAGGTGCCCACTAAAGTGCATATGAATCACAAGGAATGTGCAGCATGTGAACTGAGGGTTTTGACTGCATTCAGTAAAGCTCCACTGTGGGTGAAAGGCAGTAAAATTAAAAGTTGGCCCTTTTTCCAACATCTCTGATTCACTAGACAATGATCCTCATGGGCGATGAGGTCCCTACCATCAAATTCATTATCTTGAGAATGAAGCACAGATAAATATTTCAGTAAAAATAAGCAATACTGTACAGCACTCTCTCTTATCTGGAACTATTACCTGAAATCCTCTCAAATTCTGAAAGAACAAAAATGAATTCAAAGCAATCTCCAAAATTGTACATTTTTGTGTATGAGGAAAAATGCAAAAAATTTCATTCAGAAAAATTTGATAGCAGGATTTCTTTGAATAAGAGATGTCCTATTTCTAGTATTGCTATTTTTCTATAAATTAAACTCATCACTACAAATATTTTTACAAATAAGAGACATATTATGCTTAAAGTACTGCATTAATGTAAAATTCCAAAATATTAATTCCACAATTTTTAAGTATGGTACATACTGTATTGTGTGTTTTTTTTTTTTTAACAAGTCGGCAGTCTCCCACCTAGGCAGGGTGACCCAAAAAGAATGAAAATCCCCAAAAAGAAAATACTTTCATCATCATTCAACACTTTCACCTCACTCATACATAATCACTGTTTTTGCAGAGGTGCTCAGATAAAACAGTTTTGAAGCATATATAAAGATATATAACATATCCCTCCAAACTGCCAATATCCCAAACCCCTCCTTTAGAGTGCAGGCATTGTACTTCCCATTTCCAGCACTCAAGTCCAGCTATATAAAAATAACTGGTTTCCCTGAATCCCTTCACTAAATATTGCCCTGCTCACACTCCAACAGCTCATCAGGTCCCAAAAACCAATCGTCTCCATTCACTCCTAACACGCTCACACATGGTTGCTGGACGTCCAAGCCCCTCACCCACAAAACCTCCTTTACCCCCTCCCTCCAACCTTTTCGAGGACGACCCCTACCTTGCCTTCCTTCCCCTACAGATTTATACGCTCTCCATGTCCTACTTTGATCAATTCTCTCTAAATGACCAAACCATCTCAACAAACTCTCTTCAGCCCTCTGACTAATACTTTTATTAACTCCACACCTTCTATGTATGTATCATAATATATTTATTTTGCTAGTTTGTAAAATAGTTGAAAATAAAAACATGAACATCATTTTCTGTGTTAAAAATGGTGGGTGAAACCTTTCCAGTTGCATAGGATAAAAATATAAAATGTGGTTCTCATTCTTAATTGTTAATGCTAGGGAATATACTAAACCATAGCTGTACAAAGTGTACAAATACTTTGGGTGGAGATGACAATGCACTATGAACTACCAACTTCCTCAAATTCATTACATTCCTTATTTTTTTTTTCAGCAAAATAAACAGCAGTTTCTCAAGTGATATTTAAATAAAAATGTATTTTTTTCAGAATAAAATTCATAAACTTTATAAGAACTGAATATTAACGTCAACATTAAGGGGTCGACAAGACAATTTTCCGCGCGCTCTCAAAAACAAAATTGAAAAATTATAGAAATTGAGTTATTCATATAGGAAAATAGCTTAACTCTTTGGCAACACAATGGTACCAGAATCAATGTTCTACGATGTTTCTACAAGAAATTATAGTCATTTATATCAGGTATGGTGACGGCGGTGTGGGTAGAACGTCTGCTTACAGCCCATATATTTTTTGGAATTTTTTCCTTGTTTTTTATAGCTTTTTCTTGCATTATTCTTTCTAATATAATATTTGACTATTTGGCATCATATAAGAGTAGGCGGAGCTTATCCATAGAGTGCCAGCCAATCAGGCACCATCTGGGAACACTCGGCAGTACTCCCGCTCCAGAGAGTGCCAAGAGAAATAACTTCATTACGCTTATATCAGCTTATATATCAACTCTACGGCTTATTTATCTATCAGAATTGATCTAATATGATATAATAAACACCATAAATAACATACAAACATGTTATATACTCTAGACTGAATAAAATAAGCCATAATATAGCGAGAGACCACCAGGAATATTTCGATATAAATGAGTTACTGCTCGTCTCCATGTGGTTATTATTATTATAATCAAAAAGAAGCGCTAAGCAACAAGGGCTATACAGCGCTGCATCTCCATGTGGTATTCTTTGGTCTTGTGATAGAAAACGGTGTTTTGAAGAGGATAACTGCACTAGAACATCGATAGTTTACTAAGAAAACCACCCAAACAAACGCGATTTTCGCGAAATATTTTTTTTTTGAGACGGGGGGCCAGCTGGCGTTCTAGGCCAATATCTCAGAAGTAACTTATTCACTTATATCGATAAGGTGCGCCTTTATTACTTAATTAAGTGGAATAGTCACAAATTGTAAAATAATGATTTCTCTAATTTCTGATGGTACATTTTTTGGAAATATTCCAAATATTTTGGGAGTTATGTGGAAGTAAAGGGCAGAGTTTTTACAACATTCCAAGAACTAACAAACTTTATTTTTTTTTTGTGAAATAAAGATAAGATATTTAGAGGAAACTAAACCATGAGAAATTCGTATAAGCATTGTTCTCTCGACACCAAGTGTCCAAACAACCTTACGTCGTCCCATATAGGATCACCTTCCTGCCAAAGGGCATTATCAGTAAATCAGTCCTTTCTCAGTCTTTTCTCAGTTGTTGTTTGAGGTATTTTATTGATAAATATTTACAGGAACTAGAGAAAATACTTTGTCTTGTGCACCAAAACTGAAGGAAATCAGACGGTAAACAAAAAAGCAACAATTAATTGCCATGACAACCCCTAAATGGCCACTGAACTGCTTCAAATATATAAAAAATGAGAATCAATTAAGCCTTAGTTGAATATGTATGGCTATTCATTACACAGCCTAGTCCATGTGTGTAAAACATCAAATATTTTACAAACAACACAAACTATTCTCTCATTACTGTAAATATCAAAATCTAAAACTATCACATATATTTCATATATATTTTATCTATAAATAAAATAAGAATACAGTAATAAAAACCACTCATATATTTGCAAACAGCAACAATGCTGGTGAACCATTACCTACATATACACCAATGTAGCCCCGTCCTCAAGGTATGTCATATAAACAACAATAGCCCTCAATACACTGAAAAATGTGACTACTTACAATCCTTAATACAGAGTTGTTCAGCCAATTTGACAGATGACTCACTAGTCATTTAAGGTTTACCCTGTTCATGTTCCAATGTGTGCCACAGCCCATGGAGAAATGCTGAATTAATAAGTACAAATATGACATGAACCATCTGCCACATCAATGAAAATGGGCAGCTGCAAACAGTGACATAGTATCTGGACATACTAGAAGGAATAAATAAGTACAGAAATAAGCATATTGAGGGACTATGTAAATACATGATATCTGAGAAGACAGACTGAATTATAAAAGCTGCCAAACTTTAAATGTTGCTTCTTCTATGAAGCATGTATGGCACTTGTGCACATTGTAACTAATACCTCTCTCAATTTCTACATTTTACACAAAGCTGTGTATGACAGCTGGCAGTAACTGCAACACTAATTTATATATATAATATATATATATATATTGGCAGTTTGGAGGGATATGTTGTGTATCTTTATATGTGTATGCTTCTAGACTGTTGTATTCTGAGCACCTCTGCAAAAACAGTGATAATGTGCGAGTGTGGTGAAAGTGTTGAATGATGATGAAAGTATTTTCTTATCTTTCTGGGAGACTGTTTCTTTAATTCTTTTTTGGGTCACCTGTGCCATGGGGTAACACCCCCATTCTAAAAAAAAAAACACTAATAAAAAAAATTTATATATAAATATATATAGATATATATATATATATATATATATATCTATATATATACATATTTTATTTTATATATGTAGTATACCAATGATATGTATCACTAGATACACAAATAAGTAAGCTATGAATGCACTTCCTGCATTTCTTAGAAGTGTCTTAGTGCAAACATCAAAGCAGCTAATATGCTCTAATTACCTTTATCTGAAAAATGTACCAATCAGTAAAGGATGACAGTTCATATTTTCTTACTTGATTAAAAGTACTATAATGTGAAGAAGTAAAGTGTAAGGAAGCTAAAACCTTCAAAGGATAAGGGATACAATGGTGGCATGCACCTTGATTTTTTAATATTACTATATTCATGGGGAATGCATTAAACCCGTAGGGTTCACACAATGTGAGTTCACACAATGCGAGACAAACAGATTCAATCCAAGGAAAGGGAGGGTAGCTCTTAAGTTTTTGGATCAAGAGCCCTTCAGCAGCCTCAAGGCACCTCCCTGGAAAGGAGTTGCCTTGATACCTGTGATTAAAAAAAAAAAAAAAAAAAAAAAAAAAAGAGAGAGAGAGAGAGAGAAAGAGAGGAGCTACTCTCCCCTTCCTTGGATCAAATCTAATTACCTCTCATTACCCTACCAATTTAGCACTTCCTCTTTAATTTAAAAATAATAATCAGTCACTAAATTATTTTGAATTTTTGTTACAATTCTTACCCAATGAGGAACCAAAAACAGATCTATGAAACCAAAAATACCCTTGTTTCAGTCTAAAGGCATATAACTGCTATTTAAACAAGGTGCCGCAATAAGGAAACTCATAATGAAAATGTGATGTATGTGTTTCAAAAACCTGTGTTTCTTACCACAAAAGCCACACTTATTATGTTAAAATATTCCATTTTTTCTCTCTAATTAATTCACTAAAATTATGCAAAAAATCAATGTATATATATATTTTATATATATATATATATATATATATATATATATACACACATACATACACACACACACACATATATATACCGTATATACATGAAAATATAATCATGCTATGTTACAAAAAAAACTGCTGTTGCATCTGTACTATCCCTGGAGTGTAAAATTAAGTCCTGAACAAATAAAAACTCAAACCAAAAAGTCTACAATAAGCCTACTGAATAAAGCTGATGGAAGACCTACATTAAATTATATAGTTTAAAATAATCAATGTACAGATATAAATAATAAAATCTCAAATTATATATTAAGAAAGATGAGATCATACAAGAGGTCAACTTCATATGGAATGCTTACAATACCATTTAATAATTTTTGAGCACAGTGTTTTCAAGTAATGAACCATATCTTGAAGACATTAGACTCAGCTCAAACTCACAAGATGACTAACACTCAAATCATATTTCTTGTGCATCCTCTAGTCCTCAAAACTTAATAATCACTGTGCAAAATACCTTTAAATATTGAAAATGTGTAATGTGTACATGTATCTTGGAAAGATACATCATTAAAATTTATAAATAACAAGATTCAAAATGACAGGAATGTATCATTAAGTGCATATTGAGAGTCTTTACAAATTCTACTGTCTACCTAATATGGCCCAGTTCTTATATTATGGTATCTTGTTGATAATTTAAATTGAGCTTATATTACATCATGTTAAGGAAAGACAAATCTACCAGTTGGTTGTAATTGCACACCTGCTTTCATACTTTATTGCAAAGGAGGCCTTGGACGTAATTAAGCTTCACCAGGGACTAGTTAGCATGGTTCTCAATCACATCATTTGGTTCATTTTTGATTCACTGAAATCAGAGATCTTTCAGCCCAATGATTTACATATTATAGTCCCTTTCCAACAAAGAAGTATGAATTAAATATAATCCTAGCTTCTTAAAGTTGAATAATCTTTGTCTTGCACTTCAATTTTCGCTCCTTCATTATTGGATCCTCTTCTAGCTGTTTCTGACGTTGGACACGCAATCGACGAGGGTCTAAATTTACCCCAATACTTTGCATGCCACGCGCCAGACGCCCTGCACCAGGTGCTAAACTCTGCACACCTCTAGCTAAGACTGAAAAAGGAGCTAACACAGCCTCTTTATTAAGAGCTGACAATGGGGACACCAAGTTGCTAGAGATATCACTTCTTGCATTTACTCCATCAGATTGTATAGCTGAAGCACCTATATGTCCCTCTGAATGACTAGAAGGGAAGTGCAACTGAAGATCTGTCGCAGAAGATGCTCTCAAAACCCCTCCATCTCGCTCCTCACGTGAATCCACTTCGTCTGATGAATGGGATATCTTTCGTACTCTTTGCATCAGAAGAGTTGGAGACAGCCCACCAAATGTAGGAGTGACAACTTGTTTGTGTGCATTGTCTCCAGTTTCACTTACTAATATTTCTGGAGTGGGTGAACGGTTGCTAGACATACCGGAGATAAGACATCTCATTGTTGCCGTAGACTGAGGGATGGATGAATCACTGTGACAACGAGCCACAGGTGGTGATGGATACCGTGGAGGAGACAATGGTGGAATGAGACTAGAAGCCACAACTCCACATGAAGCTAAATGCGTCTCATTACCACCCATTGGAATAATAATATCATTCCCGCTCTGCACACAAACAGTGGGTTTCTGTAAAGCAAGAGCAAACATTAATTTTTAATGTTTGCTGAAATAAAACATTATGAATTTAACACAATAATTTTCATTTTTCAATTTTCACATTTCCCACAAGTATTTGTGATAATCTGTAAATGGTAACTACCTTTAAATATTATCCAAGCTGTCTAATTTGGAATGCATATTTACATTTCAACATGTAACATAGATGGCATGTGGAGAAAGACATATCCAATTTTAAATTTTGGGGGCCACCACAAAGTATATAAATGATAATGTGCCTTACTTGAAGGTAAAACTGAGACATGGGTTGATGTCCTGTAACAGATGTTGGACGCTTCAAACGTAAACTTGACATTGGGTTGAGTTTGGCAAGTCCTGATGTAACATTGCTAAAGGCCCTTGTACCTGTAACAATAATACCAAGCATGTATTATCATATTAAGAATGATGCTGAAAGTGTTTCTTTCTTTTTTGGGTTACCCTGCCTGAGTGGGAGACAGCTGATGTGTTAAAAAATATTACATAAGAGCAATGTCTCTACATTCTGATTCCTAAAATAAACTAAGGATTGTTAATAAACGTAGATATCGATACTTACATATTAATTATGAATAGTGCATTTATACACTGTATAAAAATGTTTCATTTAAGTCTATTATTAAATAATATTTTATTATTAACACATCGGCCATTTCCCACCAAGGCAGGGTGCCACCTCAAAAAAAAAAAACTTTCATCATTCACTCCAATCACTGTCTTGCCAAAAGCATGCCTACACTACAGTTATAAAACTGCAACATTAATGCCCCTTCTTCAGAGTGCCAGCACTGTACTTCTCACCTCCAGGAATCAAGTCCAGCCTGCGAGTTTCCTTGAATCCCTTCATAAATGTTACCCTGCCTACACACCAACAGCACGTCAAGTCCTAAAAACCATTTATCTCCATTTGCTCCTGTCTAACATGCTCACGCACACTTGCTGGAAGTCCAAGTCCCTTGCACACAAAACCTCCTTTACTCCCTCCCTTCAACCTTTCATAGGCCGACCCCTACCCCATCTTCCCTCCACTACAGATTTATGTGCTCTCGAAGTCATTCTATTTTGTTCCACCCTCTCTACATGTCCAAACCACCTCAGTAACCCCTCCTCAGCCCTCTGGATAATAGTTTTGGTAATCCTGCACCTCCTCCTAATCTCCAAACTATGGATTCGCTGCACTATATTCACCCCACACATTGCCCTCAGACATGACATCTCCACTGCCTCCAGCCTTCTTGTTGCAACATTCACCACCCATGCCTCACACCCATACAAGAGCACTGGTATAACTATACTCTCATACATTCCCTTCTTTGCTTTCATGGATAAAGTTCTTTGTTTACACAGACTCTTCAGTGCACCACTCACTTTTTTTCCCTCATCAATTCTATGATTCACCTCATCTTTCATAGACCCATCTGCTGACACGTCCACTCCCAAATACAGTGGACCCTTGATTTACGAGTGTCCCAACGTACGAGTTTTTTTGAGATATGAGCCGTCGCTCGGTTGATTTTTTGCTCCGAGTTACAAGCCAACATCCGAGTTACGAACTAGCTCTCCCCGCTTCCCTCTCAACCTGAAACCTGCACATCTCACTTGTTTATCTATGATTTCATGCTTTAATTCCATGGAAATCATCATCTTTTTCTTCTCAGCACTGTCCTTTACACTTATTTTCTTAGGACCCATGCTTAGAAAAACAAAATTTGGCCAAATGACTGTAAAAAATGTAAGCAAAGCATGAGAGAAATACTCCCACACCAAGGTAAACAGTGCACTGAGTTGGTGTTCTGAAGCTCTCATTATTATTATTATTAATTATTATTAGCATTATATAATAATACGTATATATACAGTGGACCCCCGGTTAACGATTTTAATCCGTGCAAGAGGGCTCATCGTTATGCGAAATAATCGTTATGCGAATCAATTTTCCCCATAAGAAATAATGGAAATAAAATTAATCCGTGCAAGACGCCCAAAAGTATGAAAAAAAATTTTTTTTTACCACATGAAATGTTAATTTTAATACACACAAACTGAAAATGGCATGCACAATTAAATGACACTTACTTTTATTGAAGATCTGGTGATGATTGATGGGATGGGAGGAGGGGAGAGAGTGTGTTAGTGTTTAGAAGGGGAATCCCCTTCCATTAGGACTTGAGGTAGTAAGTCCTTTTCTGGGGTTACTTCCCTTCTTCTTTTAATGCCACTAGGGCCAGCTTCAGAGTCACTGGACTTCTTTCGCACAAGATATCTGTCCATAGTGGCCTGTACCTCTCGTTCCTTTATGACTTGCCTAAAGTGTTTCACAACATTGTCAGTGTAATAATCACCAGCACGGCTTGCAATAGCTGTGTGAGGGTGATTTTCATCCATGAAGGTTTGCACTTCAAGCCACTTTGCACAGATTTCCTTAATCTTTGAAGTAGGCAACTTCTTCAATTTCTCTCTCCCCTCCTCCGAAGCAATTTCCTCAGGTGTGGCCTCTTGCTGTTGAAGTTGATCTAGCAGCTCATCAGTGGTTAGTTCTTCATTGTCCTCCTCCACCAACTCTTCCACATCCTCCCCACTAACCTCCAACCCCAAGGACTTTCCCAATGCCACAATGGATTCCTCAACTGGCACAGGATTCTCAGGGTTAGCCTCAAACCCTTCAAAATCCCTTTTGTCTACACATTCTGGCCACAGTTTCTTCCAAGCAGAGTTCAAGGTCCTCTTTGTCACTTCCTCCCAAGCCTTACCTATAAGGTTTACACAATTGAGGATATTAAAGTGATCTCTCCAAAACTCTCTTAGAGTCAGTTGAGTTTCTGAGGTCATTACAAAGCACCTTTCAAACAGAGCTTTTGTGTACAGTTTCTTGAAGTTGGAAATAACCTGCTGGTCCATGGGCTGCAGGAGAGGAGTGGTATTAGGAGGCAAAAACTTCACCTTAATGAAGCTCATGTCCCCATAAAGTCGCTCTGACACGTCTGTAGGATGACCAGGGGCATTGTCTAACACCAGGAGGCACTTAAGTTCTAATTTTTTTCAGTTAGGTAATTTTTCACATTGGGGCAAATGCATGGTGTAACCAGTTATAGAAAAATTCCCTAGTGACCCATGCCTTACTGTTTGCCCTCCACAGCACACACAAATTATCCTTGAGGACATTCTTTTGCCTGAACGCTCTGGGAGTTTCAGAGTGATACACTAATAAAGGCTTCACTTTGCAATCACCAGTAGCATTGGCACACATCAACAAAGTAAGCCTGTCTTTCATAGGCTTATGTCCTGGGAGTGCCTTTTCCTCCTGAGTAATGTAGGTCCTGCTTGGCATTTTCTTCCAGAACAGGCCTGTTTCATCACAATTAAACACTTGTTCAGGTTTCAGTCCTTCAGTTTCTATGTACTCCTTGAATTCCTGCACATATTTTTCAGCCGCTTTGTGGTCCGAACTGGCAGCCTCACCATGCCTTATCACACTATGGATGCCACTACGCTTCTTAAATCTCTCAAACCAACCTTTGCTGGCCTTAAATTCACTCACATCATCACTAGTTGCAGGCATTTTTTTAATTAAATCGTCATGCAACTTCCTAGCCTTTTCACATATGATCGCTTGAGAGACGCTATCTCCTGCTATCTGTTTTTCATTTATCCACACCAATAAGAGTCTCTCAACATCTTCCATCAATTGCGATCTTTGTTTCGAAAACACAGTTGAACCTTTGGCAAGAACAGCTTCCTTGATTGTCTTTCTGGTGCCCACAATAGTAGCGATGGTTGATTGGGGTTTCTTGTACAGCTTGACTAGGTCGGCTATACGCACTCCACTTTCATACTTATCAATTATCTCTTTCTTCATCTCTATAGTAATTCTTACCCTTTGAGGTGTAGGGTTGGCACTAGAAGCTTTCTTGGGGCCCATGGTCACTTATTTTCCAGAAACAGCACCGAAAATACTGTAATAATACGAAATATTCCGAGTGTATGCTTGGATGTTACCGCGGAGGCTGGCTGGTAAACAATGGGACGGAGCGGCACATGTGAGGCTGGCTGAGGGCACATTGGACGCGTCTCGGACGAAAATCGGTATGCGGGTTTTTAATCGGTATGCGGGGCAAAAATTTTGCGATAAAAGTAATCGTTATGCGGAAAAATCGCTATGCGATGCCATCGTTATGCGGGGGTCCACTGTACTTCTAAACTGTTATATGCTGGGCACCTCTGCAAAAACAGTGATTATGTGTGAGTGAGGTGAAAGTGTTGAATGATAATGAAAGTACACCTACCATCCGACTTACGACCGAGTTCGGTTCCGAGAAACCGGTCGTAAGTCGAACTTTACTACTGAATATCAACAAAATATTTTTGTAATGACTTTATTTTATTGTTTTATTTTGGTATTTCATGTTTTACTTTACTTTTTATGCTGTTAGTACTGTATTTTATACTGTAAGGTTTAGGATAAACACTGTGTACAACACAAATAGTTGTTTATTTCCCAGAAATTTGGCATAAAAAACACGGTCGTAAGTCGAGTGGTCGTAAGTCGAGCAGGTCGTAAGTCGGATGGTAGGTGTATTTTTTGGGGGGGATTTTCTTTCTTTTTGGGTCACCCTGCCTCGGTGGGAGACAGCTGACTTGTTGAAAAAAAAAAAAATAATACATACATTTTTTTTTTATTTTTTTTTTTATTATCACACTGGCCGATTCCCACCAAGGCAGGGTGGCCCGAAAAAGAAAAACTTTCACCATCATTCACTCCATCACTGTCTTGCCAGAAGGGTGCGTTACACTACAGTTTTTAAACTGCAACATTAACACCCCTCCTTCAGAGTGCAGGCACTGTACTTCCCATCTCCAGGACTCAAGTCCGGCCTGCCGGTTTCCCTGAATCCCTTCATAAATGTTACTTTGCTCACACTCCAACAGCACGTCAAGTATTAAAAACCATTTGTCTCCATTCACTCCTATCAAACACGCTCACGCATGCCTGCTGGAAGTCCAAGCCCCTCGCACAACAAAACCCTCCTTTACCCCCTCCCTCCAACCCTTCCTAGGCCGACCCTACCCCGCCTTCCTTCCACTACAGACTGATACACCTTGAAGTTATTCTGTTTCGCTCCATTCTCTCTACATGTCCGAACCACCTCAACAACCCTTCCTCAGCCCTCTGGACAACAGTTTTGGTAATCCCGCACCTCCTCCTAACTTCCAAACTACGAATTCTCTGCATTATATTCACACCACACATTGCCCTCAGACATGACATCTCCACTGCCTCCAGCCTTCTCCTCGCTGCAACATTCATCACCCATGCTTCACACCCATATAAGAGCGTTGGTAAAACTATACTCTCATACATTCCCCTC